TAGTAAAGGTAAATATATTATAAAATTTATTCGGGTGTATAAAAGAAAATGTATTTTTGTATAAAGTATAAAAAATGTTTCCATACTTGTATACAAGTGTGGGGGCAAAATCTCTCCTTCCAATTACAACCAGACACGTCACCTCGCACATTTTTTACAATATCCCCATTGGGCCGCCCACTCATGTATTTAAGAATAAATACTAAAAACAACTCATAAAAACAAATAATGTTCAACCCAAAACACTTCAAAAAGCTCATGTTATTGATTGCAAAATGACCAAAAACAATGTGAAAGCGCCATAGAAAATTAGAAACAACCAGATAGCCTAGCCAAGGCTTATGTTACCCCATATTCCCAAAGAGTAGACCTAGAGTACTACAATAAACTTAAGAAAATGTAGACTTGAATTTTAGTTTATATAATACAACCAACATTACTTCCCTATGGTTGTAAGAAATTAAAAATACACTTGGACTTAAATAAATAAATACCAATAAAAGAACTTGACATCAAATGCTCATTATCTTCTCCTTTTTCTTTTTTATTTTGAAATTTCAGTGGACAAAAAACTTAATTCGCTACTAAAAAATGCAAGACTCCAACCTCTACATTTTCCTGTAATGGGCATGTGTCCTAAATAGTTTAATAAGACAGTTACAAAGTGATAACATATTTTTTTCTAACATCTTGATCCGATTGACAGGGAAATAAAAGGCCGTAACTTAAGAAACTGAAATACATTTTTATATCAGACACCAGATCTCTAACACAGTAAAATATAGTAAAATGAAGAAATAACAACTTTTATTGAATAAAAAAAATTTGATATTGAAAAAATAATATATTTACATCAAACAAAAAATAGAATAAAACAACAGGCTTCTTCTTGATGGGCAACACTGGTGAATTCCATCAAGCACCAACATCAAGATATTGTGCTGCATGAACCAACACTGTCCACTTTAGCCAACTGAGAGAGAATATCATGCTCAATAACCGTCTTGCCCGGAAACTAAACTTGTCTGCTTTGATCATGTTAAAGTACAGGAGAATCCTCATACGAACTTTGAAATCCACTGTAATTTCCAAATGAAGTACTTTTCTAGTGAGTTAAAAGATTGAAAATCAAGCTGTCCATTAACTCCTTTAGGACAAAAAAAATCATCCTTTGACAAATTGAGTTCTTCAATGATTTCTCTAGCTATATAAAATGCAGTATCCACATCAAGGATAAACATGAACTCAAGATTCCTCACCTAACCACACAAGTTAGTGATACGCAAGGTAAACAAAACCGAGTTGTCACCAGCTTTCTTGCCTCTTAATCTAAAGTCACCTATCTCATTGGACCTCTGAAACTCTAGAGCCGCCCCATTGATAGTTTCTGTGCCACTAATAAATGAAAGATTACTATTTTTGGTGTTTATGTCCATCGAAAGAGAGTCAAAATTAGGTATGTTTACACATTTGGGTAACTGTAACTGATGACAATTGAGCTCTTTCGGATTTTCAGACGATAGGAATGGATCATTCAAGAGCTCTGCTGCAGGCACCCTCAAAGATACTAGAACTAGACATTTCTCTATGAACTGCTTGACAAAAAGGTCATTCACTCTGCCAAGAGAAGCAAGCTTTATACCAGATGTGACCTTCTTGTATATTTGTGCTAGGGATATTCACAAGTAACCATCTCTAAGATACACATACCAAATGAATATATGTTCACCAATTCATTAAATTCTTCTTCATATAGCTCTGGAGCCATGAATACAGGAGTACCAACAACACTTTGAGGTTGTAGTGTAATAGATGCCAACCCAAAGTCTCCAATTTTAATCTCTTTGCCATTTCCATTGACAAAACATTGTCACACTTCAAATCTCTATGAATGATGGGTGGATTGTGACTGTGTAGATAACATAAACCTTGGAGAATCTGTCAAGCCCAGTTCTTGATGTGCTTCAAATTGACACACTTATGCTTTATTTGGTATTGCCTCAAGCTCCCGGTACTGAACAATTCAGTGATGATGTTGAAAGTTTTGCTCTCATCATCTACCCAAAAGCTATCGCACTTGATGTTTTCATAGTTCAATAAATTCATTAATTGGACCTCGGAATGTAATCTTTCTATATCCCCTTCCAATCATCTGTAAGGTTCACTTGGCTTTAAGCAACTTCAATTTCGTTAAAACCATCAAATCCTTTATACACAGTCTTAAATGCCCCAATCCACCTCATTATACCATACAAATGGACTGTTTAGGGATTTCTCCACAACACCATCCAATATATCATCATACAATTGACTATTTGGGAATTTCTCCACAACACCATTTGATTTTGAATTTTTCTCCAAAAACCCATTCACACAACCTGCCATGGAATTTATTGCCATCAACAACAATTTTGATCCCAACAGAAAAAAACTCGCGATGATAAAGATTTTGAAACCCAAAAACAAAATCCTAACTTAGAACTAAAGGCGGTTCAGAAAATGCCTCAGAATGAACTAATTATGATTCAATAGTGGCCAATTAATCAGGAACGGATAGTCTAAACAATTTATGACTTGTTTGGTTCTACCTCATTAAAGCCCACTTTACTGCCTATATATATCTAATGAATCTCATGCAATGAGATCATCCGAAAATAGGATGGCAATTTTCTCCGACTCGCGGGTTTTTGCCTCGCCTTCATTCCTAATGGGGTGGATTTGGTGTTTCCCTAAATGGGTTTAGGACGGATATGGTAAAATAATTGAAAACTCGAAGCGGGTTTGGGGCGGGGGCGGATTTAGTAATGAACCCGCCCCGATTCTGCCTCGATTATATTTGTACCTTTTAATTTTTTTATATATAAAATATATATTTAATATTTTTAAGACTTTTGTTATTTTGCTGGAAGTGTCCGTTAATATATTAATATTTATTATTTAGTAATTTAAAAGTTGGGTCAACTTATTTATTAGCCCAATTTGAACACATTAGGCTAATTTTTTTTATACTACATAATAAAAATGGCATAACCCAACCCTGCCTGCCCCCGCCCTCCGTTCCCCATCTCCGCCCTGCAATCCCCTTCCCCATCCCCATTTAATATACACAATAATTTTTTTAATACATATTTTTTTCTTATTTTTAGAAGTATGTTTATATATGCTTAATATAATTTAGTAATATATCATAATATACAAAGGTATTTTAGTAAATGTAAACCCTAAACGGGTGAGGCTGGACAGGTTTACCCTATCCCTGTCCCTCCACTGGATTTTCAAAAATTACCCCATCCCATCCCCATTCCGGTTTGCATAAAAGGGTACCCAAACCCACTGCCATCCCTAAATTGGTGACCCTTTGGTTATACATCCAAGATAACTGGAAAAACAAAGCCCAAAAGAATGGAAAATACAATAGACAATCCCAACCCATAAATACAAATCAAATCACCTGATCTAATGGTTAATTTTAGCCATTAAAGCTGGGTATCTGTGCAACAATTCGTTAAACGAACCTTAGCAAGTAGGTAAATGGGATGGATGTTAATCCTTAATCTGATGGCCGCGAAGGAGGTTTGTAGTATGAAGGCGATATATTCCGGTCATTAAATATTGGCCAAGGCTACTCTCTGCGAAGACTTCTTCCCACGAAAGATGCACTCATCCCGATCTTCCCATGTATGGTACACCATAGCTGAGAGGCAGACTTTGCAAAATAGATGGATTTGGTGGCGAATTTGTCCTCCATCGATTGTTGATCCAAGAGATGATGATTTCCCAGTTGCAGATCAGGGAAAATAATTGGTATTTGTCTCAGACGAATCTCTAAATTGGGAAAATGAAACAATAATTGGAGAATAGATGATGATGCGATTCGGAGTATAATTTTGGCATATGACACCGATGTTATGATGATTAGCCATTGATTTATTATCTAGTGTCGGTAATCTAGATTGAACAACTCACCATAGATTGAACTTCATACGTGGGATTGTGAGAGAATGCCAAACCAGTCTATAAAAGCATATCAACTTACTTGCAAACAAGTTGCAAGGCACACTACCTTTCATCACTAACTCATCACAAACATCATTCATCCGAGAAGAAAATATTCTTCCAGCCGATGTGAGACTTATGGTCCTCGATGCATCACGCCACTTAAATTGAGACCAAATCAACTGGTTAAAAAAAAAACAAACAAACAAACAAAAAAGTAACCGAGCTACTATTAATTGTGACTATTGGCTAGTCCAAAACAACGGTTGTACAAGACCCAGAAGTCCGATCCAATAAGCCTCCAATCCCATTTCTTCTTTCAGTTGGGTTGATGCTTGAGCGGTCAATGGGGACGAACCATGAACTAACATAACTCCCATAACCTTCAGAAATACCCGATACGAAAGAATAAAAAAATTTCTTATACGGTTATACATATTTCGCTCGAATTTTAGGTCAATTGGTCAGAGCACCGCCTTATCCTGTCAAGATAAGGCAGAAGCAGCGGGTTTGAACCCGCTTAGTGCGGATGGATTAAATAAAAGCATTCTACCCTTACTTGTTGTAAGTACAAAAATTCGTTAACTTTGAAAAGCGAAAGAATAAGAACAATGCACTAATAGAAAATAATAACAATAATGCAAACAAGAAATTGAGGTTTCAAATGTGTCCTTTATTAAAGTTTTATGCCTCTATTTATTTAAGTTTTGATAAAAAAAATTAAAGTTGGATTCACATTGCTTGTTTCCCACGAGAATCTTCCATAAGTGATAGTTTCCATCTACGATTCTTCCATATAAGTCTCCTATCATTTGCAATTTGCATGAACCTTCCAGATGACGAGATTTAGATCGGGCTTAAGATAGGCTATCTTACCAATTGGGTTGAAAAATTAAACCCTTCCATATCTTTGGGCCTACTTCATCGGGCTTTCAGAGTTGGGCGGCCCAATAGGAATATTGTAAAAAATATACTACGCGATTGGTTGTAATTGTGGGATTTTCTTTTATGGAAACATGTTTTTCATTCGACGCCCATCACCAACATCGCCCTAATTCTTTCTCTCCACTTCAGACAGTGGGCGGCTGTCAAAGGCAACCAGCACCCCAGAATCGACAATAGATACAGAGTCACACACAGTTACAGACGTATTTGTTTGGTTTTAGCTTAGACACTCTGTATCTTGCGGTTCCAACCCTATCAAACGAGTCTCTGATTCATATTACAACCTCTGGTAACCGACATTCAATCGGAAAGCAAGAAAAAAATGGGTATGAAGCTGTTCGACGATAGCTCCGATGATGATGATGTGGCGAAAATATCAGAGATTGAAATCGACAAAGAGTTCGCTAGGCGTTACGAGCACAACAAGAAACGCGAGGATTTGCAGAGATTTGAAGAGCTGGAGAAGAAAGGCCTCGCCGGAGAAGAATCTGGCAGCGATAGCGAATCGTCATCGGAAGACTTCGATTTGGGTAAGAACGATGATTTGACTTTCTTTGATGCGTTAATTAGAGTTAAAAACAACGACCCAGTTATTGAAAACAAAGATGTTAAGTTGTTCGAATCTGAATTTGAATCCGATTCCGAAGAGGAGAGTGGGGAGACGGAGGAGGAAGAAGAAGGTTTAGGTCGAAGAAAGAAAGAGAAGCCCATGTACTTGAAAGATGTTACGGCGAAGCTTTTGATTGAGGAGGGTCCTGAGTTTGAAGAAAGGGATGAGAATGAGAAGGTGAAGAGCTATGCGGATGAGCAAGAGGAGTTAAAGAAGGCATTTTTGGATGCTGTCGAGGAGGCTATGGATGATGAGGAAGGAGAGTTATTGAAGGAGAAAGGGAATGAAGGTGATGAGGATGAGGGTGATAGTGATGACGGTATTGAGATTCAGAACAAGTTGGATGAGTATTTTGGTGAGGATGATAAATTGGATGAGAATGAGAAGTTTTTGAAGGATTATTTTAGAAATAAGATGTGGGTGGACGAGAGCAAGGGTCAGAATCCGTTGGATGAGGTTGTTTTTGGTGTTTCGGATGACGAGGAGGAGATTGAGAAGCAAGAGGATTACGAGAAGGATTTTAATTTTAGGTTTGAGGAGAAAGCAGGGGATAGGGTGTTGGGTCACTCAAGGTTTGTGGAGGGATCAGTGAGGAAGAAAGAGAATGCACGCAAGACACAGAGGAAGAGCAAGGAGGAGAGAATGGCACAAGCGGAGTTAGAGAGGAAGGAGGAACTGAAACGCTTGAAGAATTTGAAGAAGAAAGAGATGAATGAGAGGCTCAGAAAGATTAGGGAAACTGCAGGGCTCGGTGAAGACATGTCTTGCCCGTTGGATGTGGATGATCTTGAGAAGGAATTTGATCCTGAGGATTATGATAGAAAGATGAAGGAAGCATTTGATGATGATTACTATGAGGCAAACGATGTAGATGCTGAGTTTGGGAGCGAAGATGACAGTGAAGCTGAGAAACCCGATTTTGATAAAGAAGATGAGTTGCTTGGACTTCCGAAAGGTTGGGACGATGTGTCTGGGTCCCGTGATGGGTTCATAGCAGCCAGAGAAAGAACTTTAAAACGTAAGGTAGACAGTGGAACTAATAATGAACAGGTAGGAGGAGAAGAATTAGTGCCTGAAGATGGTAAGCAGAAGAAAAAGCAAAAAATGTCCTCTCTTGAGAAGGAGGTTCTAGAGAAAGAGTTGGAGGAGTACTATAAGTTGGACTATGAGGATACGATAGAGGACCTAAAAACAAGGTTCAAGTACAAAGAGGTCAATCCTCAAAAATTTGGACTAAGTGCTGAGGCGATCTTAATGACGGATGACAAAGAATTGAATCAGTTTGTTTCTTTGAAGAAGCTGGCTCCTTATATGGAGAAGGAATGGAAGGTGCCTCGAAGTAAGGTTCACAACCTAAAACAGAGGAATAAGCTGGTTCTTGAAGAAGAGAAATTGAATGGCCAGAAGATTGGTAAAAGGACCTCCAAAGATAATGGTCAGAGAATGACAACAGTGACAGGTGCAGCAGAACATGGTAAAGCACAACTGGAGGAATCAAATGATGACATGAGCAAGCTATCCAGACGAAGCAAGAGAAGACGTCGTCAAGCTGAATTCAAGCTATCACAGTCGAGGCTTTTGGCATATGGGAAAATCCCCTCTAAACCTAAGAATAAAAGGAAGTAGTGACGATTGGCTTTGGTTTTGGCGGATGCAGCATTGGAGGTGATCGCTTTGGTTTTGGCGGGTGCAGTATTATTGGTGATCTCTTCCATGAGAATTTTAACTTTTGTGGTAATCGTGTTATGTTTTTTTAATTGGTAGATAGATTCTTTATTAATATATCTGCAATATTTTCTTGAGACATTGGAAAATCCGGAAGGTGTTTAGAATGTTGGATGCTTTTGATTTGACAACTCCCTTCATTGTTGTTTCTAGTTTATATTTTATAGCTCCAATAACATTATGTAGCTTTTGAACTTCCCATCTTCCTCTCATCTATTTCATGTTATTAACTGTTTAAAGCATGTTTGAAAGATTATCCTATATCACCTTTGAAGCACTGTTTGTCACAATTTGTTTTGGTCACATGATTCATGATTTGATATCTTGCTGGACTTCTCAAAATTCATATATATGGAAAAGTTCGATTTCAGCCATTTAATCATTTATTGGCTGCAAAAAAAGGAACAAAAAGATGTACAAATGAAATTATATCCAAAATCGGTGCAAAAATTTGTTTTAAGGATATGTATATTTTACGTTATATATATAGATAGATAGATGGCAAGTAAAATGATTCAAACTTGTTGGCTGCTAATTATTGGTAATTTTAGTATTTTGGGGTAAGATGAATCCAATGCAGAATATATATATATATACACACATACATATATATATATATTGCCAAATATTGGAAATATTTCTTAGTATTTTGGACTAAGGTGAACCCTAACTATTGTTGAATGTTCATTAACTACAAAAATGAAACCCCCAAATGAGTCCACCTCTGCAAATGCATTTGCTTCCATTACGATGCCCTTAACTAGGGAAATGCATTCAACATTATCAGGTCGTGATAAAGTGTCATTGTTTTAGGCAATGGTAAGATGCTCACAGTGTCAATCATAGAAACAAAATTTTGACAGGGAGAGGTGTAATATTGTGCAAATAATAACATTTTGATCTGTGATAACTACCGAGTAATAACATTTTTAATGAAATAATGAGACTTGGGTTTATCTAGAGTTTTGGTGTCGCTAGCAAAGCTTTTATTCCTACAGGTCGGTCTTGTATTCTGTTAAATATTCATGCTCATGGGTAGAAATTTCTCATTTGTTCCTGCATATGGGGCTTATATTCTCGGAAAATTTCCTGCCCTATATAGAAGATATGTCCCTTGCTTTTTGGCTGCTATAACTTGTTCATATTCATGACTGCCATGAATTTTTTATCAAACCACGGAGGAAGTGATATAATAATTTTTTACTAAAAGTGTTTTCTCTCCAAATCCAGATGGGTCATGGTTGTCTACCCCCAAAGTGTCTGCTACATAAAAGGATGTAGTCAATTTTGCCTTTAAAAGAGTCAGGAAGGCATACACTTGCATTCCAGTGACAATCCTTGTTTTCATTAGTAAAGAGTTGGAACCATTTTCCTCCTTTGAGATGGCAATTTGTGGACTAGAGTCTCAAGCAATCATCTTTTTCTATATGATACAACATATAAGATACGAGTTTGTATATCTTCTCACTACTGATGTTGGGGGCCATAATTCGTAGAATTTAATTGCAATATATGGAGCTTGAATTAAAAAACTGTGGGAGAGTAAGGCTTTGCTTGGAAGTTACAAAAGACTGAAAACTGCAAAATAAGTCTGCTTGGTTTTGTTTTTCAAAAACAGTTTTTAGAAAATTGAGTTACAAGAGTCAACTTTCAGAGAACAATGAAATGGAGTTCTGGGGATTTTTAAAAACATGGAGCTACCGTTTTGAAAACACGGTGAAGCCTTTTTATTTAAAAAGGCGGAGCAGCAGTCCTCTCGTTTATAACTTTATAAACCCCCATCAGCTGCCAAAGGTTTTTTGTTCTTACCTATATCTCCAGATTCTCCTCAGCCACACAAGATTTTTCTTTCTGAAGATCCCTCCCTCAGATTTCTTAAAGCCATACAAGATTGGCGCTGCTTCTCTCACAATTGTCACTCGCTGTTCAGGTAGAACTCTCTAACTGCCTCTCTTACTCTCTCTGAAGAGCTCTCTCTCAGATATCTTCAAGCCATACATGATCTGCGCTTCTTTTCTACCATTGGATCACTGATTATTTATTCTAGTAAAAAAAATTGTTGATTACTGATTATTTATTGTATATCACTTCTTTGAGAGGAAGTTTCATATTTTTTAAGAAACAATGTTAAGAGATTATCCGAATTGTATTTCCCTGTTAAACCCTGGGTATCTGTTTGGTGTGGTCTTCCATAATGATTAAGAGATGATCCAGTTGTGGTACATGGAGGTTTGTTGCTCAGAATCCATACTTATTCTCTAAAATTTCTCTGACGTAAAAGGGTAGAAGTTTGTAACTGTGGAGCTGATTAATTTGATTACACTCCAAATTGATTTATTGTCACTTAAAATCATTTAATTTTTCTATTTATGTAGCCCCAGTGACAATCAATTTAATTTTTTCCAATTGGAAAATGAGTGTAAGGAACCAATTTGTTTGTTTATTTATTTTTGCCTAAATAATTTGTTATCATTTATTTTGGGTTTATCTAGTTATAGAGAAATTTCATTGAATATTTACTATATCAAAATGTTATGTCCAACACAAAGTTGTATTGAAGTCGAGCACTTCGACAATTCATAAATAGTGACATTGTAGCAACAGTTTGGTGGAGACTATAAATGAGGTCATTACATGTCCTTAGATAAATGAGATGAAATAATTCTATATATACCACTTCTGGAGATGGTTTCAGTAAATTTTCCCTCCAAGGTTTGCCTATAATAAGGTCAAACTCATTTAAGGCTTTTTTTTATGATGACCACTAATGAATTTGGTAGAAGGAAATTTGAGCGTATATAGTTTTTGAGTGTAGCAATTTTGATTTACTTACTATTTCCGTTTGAAGCTTATATTTGAATAGAGACTGCAGCACATGCAATGTTAAACAAGATACTTTGGTCATGGTTAATTGGATTGATTTTGACGGTGCTGATTGATTTTGATGGTGCTGAGGCGAATTTGCGAGTGTGATCGGGATGTGAGGAGTGACTTGTGGAAGAAGGGGGGGACTTCAAGTTGACTACAAAGGTTCGGGCTTTTCTTGGTTTTTGGTTTGCTTCATTACGCTTGTTTGGTTGCTTAGAAACTGTGTTATAGAGGAAAAGAACTGAATATTTAAGTCTTTGTTTTATTGTTTAGGACTGAGGAAATGAGATCCTCCACTCAACTGACTGCTATTTTGCATAATTGAATTCAATTTTTATTCTTTTTATACCAGAAATCTTACAGATAAAGGTGAAGTCAAAACTTCATTTTCCAGTCATTTCCTCTGAATGTTCAACAATCAAACAAGTGTAATGATTTCATTTTTGCTTTACCTTGGATTCGCTTGATTTGCCTGCAAATAGTGAAACAATGTTTATCTATCCAACCATCCATCCATCTAGCTTTTATGAATCAGTGGCAGAGCCATTAAAAATTTAGTGATGTTATCATTATCTGCTAATTAGTGTCTGTAGTTTTTATTGTTTATCTGTCAAGTTGAAACACTGGTTTTTGATGAAGTACATGAATACTGGTTTAGAAAACATTGGCGACTTTTCTTTTTGCAGTTTTAGATGTATCTGTGTCTATTCTTCAGATTTGCGGGCATTTATTTTTCATCACTCTCTCTGACCATGAGCTTAGTGGGCTTGTAGTCATGGTTGTTTGTTTGTACATTGGGAGTTTAAGCATCAGTTTGTTTCAATTTGTTTTTATACAACCAACTTGTGATTGGGGTACTTTGTAGGGTGGGCTTACTCTAATTATTATATCTGTTGTGACTGTCTTATCGTTGTACTTTTTATATTTAATATATTCCTGTTTGACTGTGCGGTAATTCAGTAAACTGGGTTTTATGATTTATTTAATTTAATTTAATTTATTTATTTATTGTCAGCCACCATATTATTAGCTTAAAGCTTAGAACAAGTAAGATAGGGAGGTTTTTACTTTTGAGAGTACCATGGCAAAAATTGTTAAGTGCCTTATCGATTAGTTTCTATTGCAAATTGCAAACCTGGCTTCATTATAACTTAATAACGGGCTTGTGTTAGTGTGAGATCAATATTTCAGGACATCTTGTGTGATGTTTCATGTCTAAATTGTTGACCATGTAACCTTGAGCTGCTGGCAAATGAGGTTGTTTGCTGTTCTAAACTTTTAGCATGAACTGGCAAGCTTAGCAATTGACAAAATTTATGAATAAGTATCAATTTCAAGTGTCCAACCTATACAAAACAAGTGTCTAGTTCCAAATTTTAGTTGCATTATGTCACTTGCAAATAGCTATAGATAACTGTATTGCAAGGAGTGTGACTGAGCATAGCATTCTTGCAGCTATGGAAGAGTTTACTGCTGAATACTTCTTGCAAAAGCTTATCACAAGGTTGAAAAAAAAATTCTCCACCCACTTGCCTTGGTCATGTGCTACTCAAATTTTAAACCTCTTTGTCTTCATTCTTGATTATTGAAACAAATTTCTTGAATCCATCTCTAATAATATATGAATGTGTGTAAGCTTGTGAAAATTGCCCACGGTCAAATTTTATACTCTTAGATTAGGAGTTAATCTAACTGAGTTAAACTTATAGCAGAGGTCTGCTAATGTTTAGAATACATGACAGTCTAGAGCGTGTGAAGTGACTAAAAAGGGGTCGCACAGTGCACTTGTAATCCGCATGCCATTTTTCAGGACAGTTTAGCTTTAAATAAGCCAAGAGGATTTATATTCAATCTTAAGGGTTGGGGTATACCGTATACCAATGGAGGTGCACTTACCCTTAACTATTAATGGATTCTGGAGTTAGTGTTAAAATATTCTCAAGTGCTTACATTGCAATACTTGAGGTAGTTATGTGGTAAAATATTCTCAAGTGTTTACATTGCAATACTTGTGGTAGTAGTTATAGCCAAAAGGGATCATCATAACAAAGATGAGTGGCCAACAGCTACTTTCTAGTGTACAATGGTTTTCTACCGTCTTTGAACATCGATCTTGCTAGTTGATGATGGGTTCATAAGATATCTTGGTTGCCTTGTAGTGATGTGAGAGTATGGAGGTGAAGTTGTGTATGGTTGCTAAGGCATGGCTGACTGGTTCACTTGATGCAAAAGTTCAATTCCTCTTTAATGATTCCAAATGCTTCTATTTACCATTGTTGACCTTTTACTTGCTCTTGATCATCTGAGTTTACAATTGCTGTTTCTTTATGT